TGACTCTGTTCTTTCACATTTACATTCAGTCTTCCATATTTAATCTTTCATATTTAAGACTAGTAATGCTTAGTTAAATCCTGGTTGTATATATTCACAGTCTTAGTTTTGATATTTTTAGTACTTATTTACTTTGCATTTAATATTATATTGTGTTTAAATTTGCTAATATTGTGTTTTTTACTCATATTGTGTGTTTGGATAACCTGCTGCTGTAACGCCACAATTTCCCAGTTTGGGATCAATAAAGTAATTCTATTTTATTCTAAATGTGTAAAAACAGAGTTGTAAATGGACAGTATGCAATCAGTGATACATAAATTAAAGAAAATACTTCAGAGGACACGAAGTCTTAATTGGATTTGGAGTCATCCTGCTTCAGTGTCAGGATTAGCATTCAAAAACAAAAAGCATGAATGGAGAAGAAGTGGGGGATTCTGGGTAATGAAGTTCTCTCGGCGTCTAGCGGAAGTGACGCGGGTGTTGTGAAGCTCGTAGGTCGTCGTCTCCTCTCTGCCGTTAGTTGGATGAATCAGTCGACGTTGACAGTCCTCGGGATATGACTGTGTGCTTTTGTAGTAGGGAGCTAACTTTAGCTAGACCGTTAGCCGGTTGTCAGCTTGTTTAGGATTCCGTGTTCTCCGTTAGCCTTCCTGTTTGTAAACGATGACACTGATATAATGTTGTTTTTTATCGGTTTAGGGGGGAACTTAAGTTGAGCCAAAGGGCTAACGCTAGCTAGCGTGTCATCAACTTGTGAATCAGATAACTTAGTCACCGTGTGGGCCATAACACCCTCTTCTTCTTCTTCTTCTTCTTCTTCTTCTTCAGAAAGGTGAGCTAGCTAAACGTAACACAGTCAGGTAGCATAGCAACGAACGTGCACAGAGTGAGCTAGCCGGGTAGCTTAGCATCGAGCTGACTTTACACAGAAGTTGATTAATAATAATAATAATAATAATAATAATAATACTAAAGCTAGCATTGTGAAGCTAGCTGTTTGGGGGATTCTGTCATAATGAGAACGGTTCAGTCCGACACGCTGGGATTTGTTCCTCAGAAAGACATCGTGTACAACAAACTGCTGCCCTATGCGGACAGACTAGACGACGAGTCAAACGATATCTTGAGTAAAATCAAAGGGAACTTGTGTCGGGCTGTGCAGCTCAGAGAGATATGGCCCGGTGTGCTCTTCTGGACGAGGAAACTTTCCACGTAAGTAAACACGAATCTTTCTTTTCCTAAAGTCTCCCTGCATGTGTTGATCTCTTCAGAATGCTTTCAGTGTAAACCTCAGAGAAAGTGCCACAGTAATAGCAAATTAATAATAATAATAATAATAATAATAATAATAATAATAACTTTATTTATATAGCACCTTTTAAAAACACAGGTTTACAAAGTGCTTTGACAAACAACAAAAACAAGAACAAACTAAACTAAACACAGAAGAACATAAACAACAACAAGAACATAACAAATACTAAATACTAAAAATAATTAAATACAATTCAACAGAAAAGAACCCAAAGTGCACGATACCCAACAGACATATAGAACCAGACCATCACAAGAACCATCATAAGAACCATCACAAGAACCATCACTAGAACCATCACAAGAACCATCATAAGAACCATCACAAGAACCATCATAAGAACCATCACAAGAACCATCATAAGAACCCAGGAAACAAAAAAGAACCATCATAAGAACGCAGGCAACACAAGAACCATCATAAGAACCCAGGCAACACAAGAACCATCATAAGAACCCAGGCAACACAAGAACCATCATAAGAACGCAGGCAACACAAGAACCATCATAAGAACCCAGGCAACACAAGAACCCAGGCAACACAAGAACCCAGGCAACACAAGAACCATCATAAGAACGCAGGCAACACAAGAACCCAGGAAAAACAATAACCATCACAAGAACCCAGGAAACACAAGAACCCAGGAAAAACAATAACCATCATAAGAACCCAGGCAACACAAGAACCATCATAAGAACCCAGGCAACACAAGAACCATCATAAGAACCCAGGCAACACAAGAACCATCATAAGAACCCAGGCAACACAAGAACCATCATAAGAACCCAGGCAACACAAGAACCATCACAAGAACCCAGGCAACACAAGAACCATCACAAGAACCCAGGCAACACAAGAACCATCACAAGAACCCAGGCAACACAAGAACCATCACAAGAACCCAGGAAAAACAAGAACCATCACAAGAACCCAGGCAAAACAAGAACCCAGGCAACACAAGAACCCAACAACACGAGCTGAGACCAAGAGGAGCAAAGATTTAAAAAGATGTAAGAAACTAAAAGAGCTAAAAGCAAATAAAAAGATAAACAGCAATAAGAAGGTAAGAGTAGTAAAAGAAATAGAAACAAGTTATTAAATGATCAAAAAACCCAAAACTATAATATTAATAAATATGAAATATAAATAGACTAAGTAAGATAAGAAATTACCAAGTTAAAA